GTCATCTTAAAATAGTGGAGGCGGATCACGGCCCAGAATCTCAAATACTAAATCACGCATGAATTCTTCATCAGTCAAACTCATAAATACTCTAGTCAGACTCTCATCCGATCGAAAAATTTTCATTACTTGCATTATGTCACTCTTTTCTATACTCATGCCTTGTAATTTTTCTAGAACCAACTGCCAATTGATGTGGTTTAGTGTATCTAATGTTGCTTGAGTCTCCATAGCATTAACAATTTTTTTAGATGATTCAGCAATGCTTGATAGGGCAACGAGACTCTCATCATTAGGTTGGGTACGTCGACGACGAACTTTGTTAGTTCCTCCTTCAGCGTTACGCTTAGGAGCGCGAATGGGACTTGGTTTGGTATCCTCATTTTGACCATCAACTTCATGCACATTTTCATCTAAAAAAATTAATAAAATAAGAATTTGTTAGAATCTCTAATATAATACGAATTATATAAATATTTATGTACGATCTAGTACATACCATGTTCGGGGGATAAAATGTCATTGCCGGTTACAGCACGATCTCCTGTAGCAGAATCATTTCCAAAGATAGCCTCCAAATCATCATAACTAGCACAAAGTTTGGTCCTCCACTTTCCAAATTCTAGTTTGCCCTACAAGAAAAAGAGTGAAATATGTTTTACGCTAGTCAGTGGTCAAAATAAATTATATTACTAATATTTAAGGAATAATACTTTCGTTGGTCAATGAAATTTTGTACCTTCAACAACTCCTCCCAAACTAGTACATCGGTTGTGACACGTCCATTATGAGGATCTAACCCAAAATCACTCATACTTAGCAACTGACGAACTTCAACATATTCTTTTTTCAGAGTTTTCAATCGCGCCCTCACATTCTTATCAGACACCACGACTCCGCATCCATTGTGCACGCTCTCGATTGCTTTGGACACGTGATATGATGAAAAGCCATTGTCACTTCTTTTGTGACTAGCCAACACTTGATGTAGTAGTGCAGTTACCATACAACCATCCATTGCATCACTCCAACGTATTTGACAATTCCTAGAATTAGGATCCGCTTGGGTTGAGCTTATTTCCTCCACATCTGAATGGAGGGTTGGTCTAGGAACTCGATAAGGAGCCGTAGAGCTTTGTCGAATATTTGCCATGATATCTATACTGTAAGATTAATAAATAAGAACATTTAAGAAAATTACATGTCAACAATTTGTATTGAATAACAGTAATTCAAATTACAATATTTAAAATTCTAGCAAGTTTATGTCAACTATTATAGGACATGAAAAAAAAAGCAAAAAATATGCTTCATGTCAATACGTCTTCAATTCAAGTAATTACTACAGATGAAAGTCTAGTAAGTATGAATCCATTACATAAAAAGATAAAAAAAAATAAAAAAAAAACACCACAAGAAAAAAAGGAAAAAAAAATTCAGATTTCAAGCAACATCAATTCCCGCATTCTGATTGGGAAGATAATCAGCCCACATTAAATCAGCAATCGCATTCCTCTTATTAGACCACACTTCCTGATTTGTGAAAGATATGTCAGCATTTGGAGTTTCATCTTCAGGTACATCAACATGCGTAGGGTTAACCTCATCATCACTACTATCTAAGTCGTCCTCCTCACAAACATCTTCAACGTCATCAATTCTTAAGAAGTTGTGGATGGCAGAACAGGCAAGGACTATCTTTGCTTGTGTGTCAATGTCGTGATAGGGTTGATGTCTCAAATATGCAAATCTTTTCTTCAGAAACCAATTGTACGCTCAATAACATTACGTAGAGATGAATGTCGAAAATTGAACAACTCCTTACTACTTTCAGGACGTTGACCTTCAATGTCTCTACGATGATAACGAGTCCTACGATATGGTGCAAGAAAACTCGAAACCGATGGGAAGCCAACGTCAACAAGATAATATTTACCTAGGAAAGAGTTGTTCATAAGATGGTAATTAGGTAATTATTATAACTTATGTGTGGAAGAAATATTTTCAAAATAGTGACACAACTTACCAACAGGAATTGTTAGCTTATGTCCTTGGCGTAATATTGCACTCCGTAACAATCGACCATCATGTGCGGATCTCTCCCAACCGGCAAGCACGTAAGTAAATTTCATATCAAATGTGCAAGCTACTAAAACATTTTGGGAGATCACTTGTTTTCTATTGCGATATTTACCTTGCTCCTCTAAAGACGCATACGCAGCAATATGTGTACCATCGATTGCTCCTACGGCATCCTTTAAAAAAGAATACGTTTCAAAATAAATGTGTATATTGAAGTTTTAAGAAATATGTCGAAATAACTACAAACCACTAACCTGGAAAAAGGAGTACCATGGCTGCACATTTTCTTTTTCGTATGGTGAGTTATGAGGAGTGGCATTAGTCACAACATCTCTATACAGTCCAAGACAAGAGTGTAAGACTCTGTGAAAGTAAAAGCTCACTGTTTGACCAGAGCGAAAGAAAGTGAAACGTCCAGCGCGATTACGTTGGTCATGCCCGACTGTATTCAAAAAAATTGCGACTTGTTCCTCAATTCGAACGTATTTCCTATCAACCAATCCATAGGTTCGCAAACGAGCACATAATCTTGGAAATGGACCTATTTTCATCCTAAGGAGATCACGACATATTGTATCACTCGTGCCAAACATTCGTGTAAGTGTTATTTCTCTTTCAGAATTTCAATTTGTATGAGGAGCTCTTGGAAGATGTCGTGCACGACACCTAAGTTCATTATATATCACAATCGCTTGCATGATCATCGTCCAAAATAAACCTAACTGTTGTCGTCGGTATCGATGTTGATTCGTTGTTGTAGCCATGCTATAAACTACCATGGTAAATAAAAATTCAATAAAGGTTGTGAATGCTTTGATATTAGTGTGTTATACAAATAAATATAAATTCATTACTATCTTTAAACAATAAACAATTCGCAAGAGACGGTTTGCATATTGAAGGGACAGAGAGAGATCAATAAAAACGGATGAGGGACTAAATCCTCCAGCACCTAACAAGTAGAAGAGCCACTAGGGCATGAGCATTGGTCATCAGCTCAATCAATAGAGACGGTGAAACAATACTATGCTAAGATAGCATAATTTTTTATAGGCAAGCTCTAGTTTCCATACACGAGAACATTTAATCAACTATGCAACTCAAGTAGTCAATATAGGACATATGATCGAAAAATCAGAAGTTCACATATCTCAACAGCTTAAAACCATGAGAAGAAATATTACAGAATTAAGCTACTTCTAAACATTGGCTAAATATTACAGAAAGTCCCGGTAGCCAGGTTATAGTCACAAATTCTATCAAGTAGGACAAGTATTCTATTAATTTTTATAACAATTACAGATGCAACTCTGAAATAGAAATAAAAATATAAATTGGATGATCATAAAAATATAATTTTTTAGTTTGTCGGATCACTAACATTCTTGTCACACTGTTTGTACAACATAAATGTTTCGAACTACATGAAAAATCTAAAAGAAATGACATCATGGTGGTAAGAAAAGGATAGGTGTGTTATTTACATACTCTCATAAAGTCTTAAATAATCAAATGATCAATTTGTTGGCTTTATACCTGCAAGGTAAAAAACATGGCATACAGATTTATTAGATTCCTTGCTTAACTTTAACTAAACAAGGAACTCGACTATTGTACCGATAGAACATTATAATTTATTATCTAGTCAAAAAAGCAAAGTCGTGGATATAAAACTTAATTTCAGCATGACATGGAATGAAATACACTTACCAAAAATGCGCAAATATTCTCGTAAGTTATACATGAATATCAAATTCAGCAAGTAGTATCTATCTTTTTGTTTCAGATAAAAAGGTAGCATAGAAATGGAAGGTCATGGAATACCTAAACCGCACAACATTATTAATAACCTTAACCATCCTAGAATGTGTCTCTGTATCTTTATATAGGAGAGACAGTGACAAATGAACCCCAAGGAAACAAAATACAACATGTTTATTTCAAAAACCACAAACAATCCTAAAAGATCAAATTACTTAAACATCTAACAATATGTAGTTGCACGGAGATAAGGATATGTTAAAACTAAAAAGTTATTGAGCCCATGTCTCTGGTGCATGAAGACAAAATAAACCAAAATCTGCAAGTACAAGTACCAAACCTCTTATAAACAACCAAACATACATAAATCTTCGAATGTAAACAAGTTCCTAATTACCCTAATGACCAAAAAGATAATTGCAAGAGGTAGGAAATTGTAACGTGTTCAACTTATCAAGCTAAGCCACCATGAGAAAGAGACCATAACTTTTAAGACACAAATGGAGTCGGACTATCCTGTTAAGATATCTGATATACATAACAGTTTTTTCCTCTTATGTGCTAGATTGTTACATACTAAAAGGCTATATAACTATATATAGTCAAACAATAATTAGTGCACAGAAAATTATATTTGCTAAGTCACAGTTGACAAGTTCAAATAGTTACTGCAAAACAAATCTCGGATGAAAGCCAAGAAGATTACATTTGAATATTTAGGAAAACAAGGCCTTGAATAAGGACACCAGAATGAAAAGACGGGTGTACAATTATTTCTCCTAGAAGTTACAAGAAATTCTCATCATGGTGGCATTCCAGTTTCAAAGGTATACCTCTGCATTCACACTTTCCGCTTGAATATAAGTACCAAGCTACAGGGGATCAAATAAATAGAACTAAACTTCTAACCATTCATGTCCATACGTATATACATAGAACTAGAATATTTCTAAACCAAGAAGTAACATGCTACAGGTAGTAATAAAATATTATACAAAAAGATTAAGTAATCGTCAATTAGACATAGAAACAGAGTCTTCTACTAACCAAATAAGTCAGAATTGTCAGAATCTCTTCAGAAGATTTCTTTCCAAAAGCATTTGCATCGACAAGGGTGGGGTAGACTATAGACCAT